CTTGAGCTGCTTTCTGTATTTAGAGACGTGGTCAAACTTCTTGAGTCCAAAAATATACCGAATGCAAAGGTTTTGCAATCGCTCAAGTTTGTTTAATTGCTCCTCTGTAGCATCCAAAAAACAGACATCAGCGTAATCTAAGATTGGCAAAATGAGAGTTTGGACAAGAGAGATTTTAGTTGATAAGGGTAAAAAACTTTGAGATCGTTTTAACGAGTGAAAAGTATAATGTACTTTTCTGCTTAAGTCCGTTATATGAGCACCCCATGATAACCTATTGTCAATAATTAGGCCCAAGTTCTTCGCGGATTCCGAATAAGCAATTGATGTGCCATTGATAAATCACATTTGGCAGGGTGCAGTTATCAATAATACTACTATTATATCTGCTGCTTACTATTAACGCTTGAGACTTACTTGGATTTATAGGTAAACCATGGGATCTTTACCAACGATTAATTCTATCCAAATCGTCATTCAGTGCATCTATCGCCATTTTAGCCTCAGATGCCTCAAAGTGACGGTAAAGCTGCAAATCGTCTGCATAAAGATGGAAGTTGGAGGATATTATTTAGTTTTAGTTATATTAATTGTTAGGTTAACAGACTTCAGACAGGTCACTTTGTCTTTTATGGACTTATTAATTTCACTTTCAAGTTCTGTATTAATTATTAGTTTACCGGTATAAAAAACTGTAGCATCATATAGAAACATTATTGTTAAATAGTTGGTGATATTAAATATTACGTATACTTCTTTGAGGTACACCAATGTTGACTTTTTTAAGCTTAGACTTAACTGTTTCAATAGTTTTAGTATTATTATTATATGTGTCTAAAATAGTTGCTTGATATCGATCTTCGGGGTATGGTTTAAATAGTTTTAGAGCAATTCCGCGAACGCCAATATTTCCCAATTATTTCAGTAAAATTTCATGATTAACACAATAAAACGCTTTTGTCATATCTAAAAAAAGGTCAAGACATGGATTTTTTTTTGTTCATCCCAAATATGTTTCATGATTTTAAATATGGCTAATTACGTGTTTTTGCCATTTTTAAATCCATATTGATTAGGATTTAAAATTTCATTAGTATTAACAAATTTAGTTTATTATGAATAACTTTTTCAAATATTTTGGAAAAGCTTGGTAGGGATGCTATGGGTCTGTAATTATTTGGGTTTGCTTAGATCTTTTTTTGTAAATAGGCTTTATAAGAGAAATTTCCAGGTCATTTGAAAATGTACCTATTTCTAACATTAGCTTTATAATATACACTATTAGTTCGGAAATATCTATACTTTAGAGATTATTTCATTAAATACATCAATATATGATCGTAGCCAAAATATTTTTTTGGTTCTATTTGATAAACTATTTTACTGATATCATTTATGTTGGTCGGAGATAAAAAATACTATTGCAATTAAATTAATTATTAAGAGTTTTATAAGATTCCACATTATAATTTTGATAACTACGTGTAATGAATAAGTTATTAAAAAATTCTATCATTTTATTTAGCTTACTGACTATCAACACGTTAAATTTATATTTTTTTATGGTGTTTTCTATTAAACTGTGGTTATATTTTATCAAGTTTAATGTAGCTTTTGTTTTATTAACACTAGATTCAATATATTTTATATTAGATTTCTTTTTCGATTCAATTATTACCGCTTTCATTATTCTACAATATTCCTTGTTTTAGCAAAATATTTATTTTTTAATGTTTTTAGATATAATTTCCTTTTGTTTCTACTAGATATTTTTATACCTTTCATAAGCAATTAGGTTTATTTTTTTGTATAACTTTAATCCTTTTAAGTGGAAAACGTAGGGTAAAGATCACGTTAAATATATTAAAAAAATGATTTATAGGCCAAGTTCACACCATTTTCCTGATAAACTTTACTAAATCCAATTCGGGATAAATACTTTAGAATAATTGAAATTTATCCCGTAGTTTTTCCGTGGTGCGCGCACAACTGCAAACCTCTTTCATGTTATTTATATAGATAGATTACCGTTTTTTTATAGAACAATGGTTGCCAGCCGAGATACATTTGGTAGGTAGTCAATACAACAACTTTTAAATATATCTATATACATAGAAATATCTATAAATATTTATATATTATACAGGGTGGAAAAACGTAACTCGACTCAAAGGAAACATTCCTTGGTTTTTCAAAATAAATAGACAATCCACAATTTAATGAATTAATCGATATATAAGGATAAAATGATATATGATATAATATGTAAGAATCAAATCTATCGAATAAACATTGTACGAGTATCTTACAATTAAAGAAGACCATGTAATCTAAGAATTCGTACATATCGACTCGAATTATCCTAACCTATACTGTTTATTTTTAAAATTAAAATACCTTTTATCATTTTCCTTAAACTTCACAATAAGAGTACTTATCTGGAGATCTTGCAGGCCATTTAATTGATCCGTTTGTACCTATCCAGACGTTGAAATTGTTATCGAGATAACTAGTGAATATTTTATGATTATGAGCACCGTCTTGTGAAATATTATTTTAATTTTATTGTTATATATTATTTTGCTCCTCCTCTGGCAGATAGTACAATTTATTTTGTAAAAGTTTTAATATTTCTTAGTATTTTCTAACATTCAAGTTTCCTTCAAACACGTATATCATTACAAACATGTTTCTTTCTCCTGATGCCACACCAAATATTAAACGAAAATCTCACTTAACTAGATAGTTAAGTGAGATTAGTAGATACTAATAATAATATAGATTAGTAGATAATAATAATAATAATAATAATAATAATAATAATGTACGCCTGTTACAGATTTCATTATTGCTCAAATTTGTTTTATCAGACCACAAACCATAGTCTAAGTTGGATTGCGGGTTATTTCTATTTGCAGTTACTGTAGAGTAAATGTGAGACGATTGTAGTTTAAAAAATAAGCTTCTATCTAATCAAATTGTTCCTAATAAGCCATTACGATTATAAAATAGCAGAAAACAAACACGAACATTTTGAATACCAGCGTAAAATAGCAGCTTAATGCTGCTGTGTGTCGTATGGTAAGTGCACAGAACCGGAGCCCCTTTTTACTGGAATAGAGGCATTATATCGTAGTCCTTACGGCTGACAACGCATCTGCATTTCGATTCGCAAACGAGGGTAGATGTAGATGTCTATGAGCCAAAGCAAACACTTACCATCAGGTAGACTGTGTGCTCGCTTGTCACCCTTATCCTAAAAAAAAGATATCAAAAAAAAAGTAAAATATCAACAGGTTATCGATATGTTTGTATCTCAAAATTACAGTCTCATACATTAAAAGGTTCTATTTCTAAACTTGTCTCGTATAAAAAATGGCCATATTTAGATAATAATATTTGTAATTATATGTACCTATTTTATAAATTATTTTTATAACGGATTATTAAACTTCATACATTTTTGCTTTTACTTAGGCACGCTTGTTGTAGATTTTAGTATGTTCGTACACGTACGAATTGTTATATTTCATGGTCTTCTGTAACTGTAAGATACACTGTGTATTTGAGATATGTTATCTTTATTATATATAAATCGGGTTTGGCCGGTAACATATATATATATATATATATATATGTTACCGGGAAAACCCGATTTCAGGCCAAACCAGTTGTCCTAGTTTGTTCCTATACTACTCGTGTCAAGATATACTAGTTTAGCCCAGCCTATTCTCAACTTATTGGTGTGTTTTCGTAATTGGTCTTAACTGTTTTAGTTTTTCTTAAATTCTTACTCATTAATACATTGTTTAACTGGGGCTTACCCGACCGGTACGGTACGGTGCGAGTCCGAAATAACCCGTTCCCCACGAGGCTAACATATAATATACGCTATCGATTAGTTCAATGAAATTAAATGTAGTGATTATATTCTCTTTGAATGAAATAGCGATTGTCTAGTTTTTGTATTTTTAGTTGGTTCAATTTTCTGCTCAGGTAAGTTTAAAAAAAGTTTGAATGTTGTTATTCTTATTCTTAAAAACAAAGCAATGTTTCCTGTGAGTAAAATTTGAAATCTTCAATATTTAATGTACTTTCCTTCCATGTCCCTACTACCCCCTACTACATCGGGCCGTAAAAATGAAAATTTTGGACGAAAAATTTACCATGCAGTGCAAAAGTGCTTTAGAGGTGGGCGTTGCGGCGACGAACCGTTTACAAAGACCGTATTGTGTTCAGCGACGACGAAACCGTTTTACATCCTGGGTTCAAACAGTCTTCGTTGCACAAACCAGTTTTGGTGCGATTTTTTATTTTACGCCTATAAAAATACAATCGAGAACGTAATGATACTATTTATATGATAACTATTTATCTCACTCGTCGTGTCGTCGTCGTTAACGTTCGTCTTTGGTTCCGCGTTCGATTACAAACGTAGACAGACCAAACAGTCCTTACCTAGTTGTAAGAAACTGCAACCATTTCACTCGGCAAAAACGCAATTCTATTCCATGTTGAATAAGTTTCGTCCTTTAAGCCGTCTTCAAACCGGTTGTAACGACGACCGTTTTCTGCAACCGTTTTCGTCGGGAAAACGTTTCGTCCGTCAAAAATTTGACAACGACCCACCACTACTCTAAGCTGCATTTTTTCCTTACGTAGGTCTTCGTATAGTGCCAGCGTTAAAAAACAGTTCGCAGACGTTTCATCATTTGCAGTGAACTTAATTATAGGTATTCCATGAAAACAGATGGTATTCAAGATTCATGGTACTATTTGATTTATTAACAATTACAGCGTGCATAATTATTAGCGTTCTGTGTATATATTACATAGTTTTGTAAGATCTAGTTATATATAATGTCTATGACTACCATAATTTTACTTAACGTTTAGTACACCGTACCGTGATGGACCAGTATTAAGAAACCTTTGAAGAGATTGAAATAAGATTAAATTTTGCCATAAGTATCAATTGTGTAAGTATAAAACAAACTTACCTATGAGACAGTCAAGCACAACCTTAAGTGCTGGTCGATGGCGCAGCACGCGCTCTAACCGCATACGTGGCCAGCATATGCATGTGCATACCTCTTCTGCTACCACTGTCACCTGCACAATAACTTATAGTCATTTTATTGTATACCTAACTACAAGCTTTTGTAGTAAAAGGTTAAGTATAAACATTGAATTTTCGTAGGTACACGCTATGTCGGTGCTGTATGCACCCTTTGCCCGTTTACACCACACAATTTAAATTTCGTACGTAATATATCATATTAACGCTTATCGTATTTTGTAAAATTAATAATTAAAACACTTATTTTCTCCCTCTTCCTTCCACCATCTGACAACCAGACGCTCAACCAGCCTCGGTTTGCTTTGCCGTTCGTACGTGGAATAATTTGCGCAAAACAATAGAGTGAAATGATTTGCCAGCATCTGCCTTTCCATCTGATTACAATTTGAGTGCCTTTAAGATAAGGGTGAAATAGGCTTTTGTTAAGCTAAGTCAGCGCGTCTACGTGTGCGCTACCATCTTCGGTTATATCACCACTTACCATCAGATTGGCTTCATAATAGTTTAGAAAGCTTCATTTTTTATGCAAAATGTTTCCAATGTATAAAGGCATTCTAAAGATAACGTATGTAGAGTTTGTAGGAGAATATGTGTGCACTGTGCTAACTAACGGACGAGACGCAGACGACTGACATGGTAGTTAATCCATCCAAAAATGCCGAATATAAATTTTATATGATGTGTGGCGGGAAGCGGCGTTAGTAGTGCGAAGAATTTGTGTGTTCGCTCAATATTCTGCCTGCGACTGGAGAATGAGCAATTGTTTCATGAAACGCATTTCTACTGGTGTATTCTTAAAAGTGCCTTTGTCCAATAGTGAATGTTGAATAAAATTTAAAATTAAATAAAAGAATAATAATATTTAAAGTAGGTATATATTAGAAGTATAATAATAGATTTGTATACAAAGTTTGATAGCTATTACAAATTAGTTTTCAGGCCTAATGTTGCTAACTGTGTTCGTGCTCCAATTACGAGATATGGCCTAACTGGATACCTAATAAGGATATAACAAATATGTAACTACAATGGACTATAAGTATAAGTAGTGCCTTTTTCTATTTGCAGACATACCTTCGGGATGAAACCCCATAACTACATGTACGCATTATATGAATACACATATAAAATAAATATATTCAACAAAAACATGTCAAGTAAAAGGAAGGTGAGCCTCTTATACATAAATGCTTAAAATCGTTCGAAACCTACTGCCGAACAAAGTCAATTTCCCTCATGAACTTAAGCACTATCACATTTAGATTACGCCCTTGACTCTACAGGCTAGTTGAAAACTGAGTAATTATTGCTACACTACAATCGTAAATTTTTTGATTAATGATTTCTTACTAATAAATTTGTAAGTAAAGTTTTAAACTGGTAAGGTCCACTGCTGCGCATAATTCTCCTTTTATTTGTGAAGGGGTTTTAGTACAAGGGAGTGAATATCCATAATAAAAAACGTTTCACTTTTCATTCAAAATGTTCCCATCCATTTGAACACATGGTGAAACTACTAAATACTACTACCCACCAAAAGTACTTTTATACTTTTAATAATATTTTTGTATTAAACAGTCGTATATTTACGACTACATATTATAACTATGGTAGCCTAGTCCGGGCTACATAAAATTGTTTACGCCAAAAAAAAAAAATTTTTTAAACTACTTCAATGTTATTCTAATTACTACGGTAGATAAATCCTCAACCGTAGGCCTAATCTATTATTCATGCCTCACTCGGAATTATTTAACCTGGCTTGGTGCGGAATAACAATGAGCTATGTCACAACATTCTGTAACTAACAAATGACTTTCACGCCTATTGTATTCTTGCGAGTGGTAAATGTTCTAAGTTTGCTCGACAGACTATTAACTGCAGTTGATTAAAGAACAATTAAAAACAAACGCTGTTATTGAGCAGGGTCGTATTTAAAGGTGTTGAAAAGAGCTAGTATGATTACAAATGTATGGCAATTCATCTTAGACCTCAGGGCGACAACGGATCTACGTTGTCTTCTTTATTTGAAGTTCGTTGTATGGGTCTTAGGGTGGCTGTAGCCGCCTACCATTAGATGAACTGTAAATTCGTTTGTAATTCAAAAATTATATTTATTTTAGGACAATTAATAGAATCAGGCGTTACTTTGCGGAAATCCATTGTATTAAAGTTGGTAAAAATTACCTCGCGTACACCCGCTTGATAAAATAAAATGATGTGTCTTACCTAGTTTGAAGAGCACCTCCCGCCCTCCCTCAATTGCGTGCACTATCCCCGTCACCACTAATCCCAGCACCACTACTCCCTAAGACTTTTAGCGGCCAGCCACCGCAAAGTCTACATCACCTGAAGGCGCCTCGTGTAGAGGCGAAACACGTGTCGTATTGTCGTCAGTGTTGTGTCATTCCTAGTGTAGTGACTTGTTTCTTGTAGAGGTGCTGGAGTTTCAGCCTCTATTACTTTCCTCCAAATCCAACCCTGTACTTGAGGTGTGTATGCTGTATGTTGTAACTTTGACCTTTTGCATGCACGTAAACGTTGACAACGTCAGCAACAATGGATGCAGTTTCTTAATTGCATTTATACATGCAACGCTACTTTTTAGTTATTTCCTTAATTTTAAAAGTGTGATCAGAAAAGATAATTTGTGTGTAACAAATACCAGATCAAAAGTAGTTTCCATGTCCAGTTTTTATATTTTAGGTTAAAGGACTGTGTGATTTAATATTTCGTTTTCAGGCTCTACACATTACATTAGTTAAACGCTATATATAGAACGAGAGTCCGTGGTTGTCAGACCTTCCTTATTTTATAAAAGCAGAAAAAATTTCAGCGCATTCTTCCAACATAGGCTACTATGAAGTTTGGATCATCGTGGCTTTCGTAGGTACCATGTAGCAAAGATGTATAAAATAGCAACTTAAATTTGTCAAAGCATAAACCGTTTTTTTTATATTTACTTTTGAATAAAATTAGAAATCACGACATCTGTTGTCAGACACTTAGTATCGTGGCAACTTCTTGCCAGACACCCTTAAACTTTAATGAATTGTAACTGTATTTACGTTATAGTATAAAAGCTGAATTTTGTATACGTTACTTAAATAACTATTAGAAGATGTTTCCTAAGTAGCCAGACAGTTGCGACAGTTCTAACAGACAAACATAATAATATAGGGTAGCTGTAGATGCGAGCGCGCGAGGTAGTATATCCTTCGTTTACTCAGAGATATTTATATATGCACAATAAACGTTTTAATATTTGTTTATGCAGTTTAAAAAAATAAATGTGATGCAATTTTGATAAAGTATCATTTGGGAGACGACGACGAGATAATTTAGCTTATTTGTAAAAAAAAGTAGTTAAAAATAATATTACTTTAAATACTCGTATTTTCATCCAAGCAGATAAAGCTTTATTGCACATAGTCGATAGTTTGCCGCTTAGCAAGTGGTAAATTATATAGATTAAAATTAATTGCCGCATGTATGAAAAGTCATCACTTAAGAAAGGCTGGAATGATTTTCATAAACAATCAACCCGGCAATTGGAACCGGTAAATAGCGCTATTGTCGAAATCTAGAAAACAGTCCTGCGAAGCCGACTGATCGTTAGTTAGCATATAAAGTTGGGATTACAAATGGGATCGAACTCGTTTATGCACCGTGTGTCTGTCAAGACAGTATTCATACCTTCTTAACTATTAGTTTTTAAAGTTTGCGAAGCGAATATTTGCTATGTTATATAATAATCATCATCACTTGATTTAGAAAACAAATTACTTGATCGTTCGAATAATAATAAATCTAAACCTATTTTCTTTATACTTTAAACTTATAATTTATTATTATTAATTATTAAAAGATTATACCGATGTCGATTGTTGCTAACCTTGCGAACGAAATCACTATACTAGATTAAAGAAGTCATGTCTTGTAAAGTAACGTCCACAGACTAATATGATGCTTACGGTCGCATATTATAATACTACTACAATAGGGATGGGATATAATTTTTCTAGTAAATTAGAAGATACGATAGAGATTTAACGGTGGTAGAGCCACGCGGCAGTTTTTGCTGTTGCACGTATGGGCCGGCTCGAGCCTGGTTGGTACCACGACCTCACAGAATACCGGCGTGAAGTAGAAGCTCTGCCTCTGCGTTTCGTCTAGTGAGTGCAGGTGGCTGGAGGCCCAATCCCCCCCCCCCCCATCAACATGGTAACGGAATTACACGAAAGACTACCCGAGGAGGGTACCAGCACCCTTGGAGAATCCCTCGCTGAGCATCCACGACCATGTTATTCCACTCCTGAGGTGGAACGTGGGTGCTCAGGCTGCCCCGCGTATTCTGGGGGGGGGGGGGGGGGGGCAAAATTCCGCTCAAAACATAACTGCACGGGGCAAACTGAGCAACAGTACCAAGGCGACCTCTGCCACGCTATCCGTGAATATCTGCAACATCAGGGGACTTCACTCGAACCTAAACGCCGTCTGATACTTCGTATCTCTTCTAACCGGGGTACAAATTGGAGCACTCCTTTGTGCCTCGGGCTGGAGTTTGCGTGTATGTCAGAGAGGACATCTGTTCTCGACACTGTTCTCCAAAATAATGGAAATCATTATTAACTGCCAGCTCATGCGGTACCTTGAGGATCACCAGCTGATTAGTGACCGCCAATACGGTTTTCGTCGGGGTCGATCAGCTGGTGATCTTCTGGTCTACCTGACCCATAGATGGGCGGAGGCAGTAGAGTCCAAGGGGGAGGCCTTGGCCATTAGTTTGGACATTGCGAAGGCCTTTGATCGGGTAGGCATAAAGCGCTTCTTTCGAAGCTTCCTTCCTATTGGCTTCCCGAGAAATCGTGTAATTGGATCACTAGCTTCCTTGCAGATCGGAGCATCAAGGTCGTTGTAGACGGTGCAAGCTCCGACTACAAGCCTATTAACGCTGGTGTTCCACAAGGCTGTGTGCTATCACCAACGCTGTTTCTTCTGCATATCAATGATATGTTGCTAACTGGTAACATTCATTGCGGATGAGCACTGGTGATGCTCTATACACCGGCCGTGCCAATATTTCTCGGAAAAACGTCGTCGAGTACCGGAACAAACTTGTGTCTGAAGTCGAGTCTTTGCTGACAAAGTCTCGGATTGGTACGACTAAATCTAGTCCAGTTTAATCCTCAGAAGACACAAGTTTGTGCGTTTACCACTAAAAAGAACCCCTTGGTCGTATCTCCTCAGTTTCAAGGTACTCCCCTTCTTGCCTCAGCCAGTATCGGAATCCTTGGAGGCGACATATCGAGTGACGTGCAGTTTCGTGGTCACTTGGAAGAGAAGGCCAAATTGGCCTCCAAAAAGCTTGGCGTGCTCAGCAGAGCGGGATAGTATTTCATGCCGGCACACCGCCTGCAACTTTACAAGGCGCAGGTTCGGCCTCACATGGAATACTGTACCCATCTCTGGGCAGGGGCTCCCCAGTGCCAGCTCCTTTCCACTTGACCGCATCCAGCGCAGAGCGGTTCGGATCGTCGACGACCGAGTTCTTTCCGATCGGCTCGATTCATTGGCACTGCGAAGAGATGTTGCATCCCTTTGCATTTTCTTTCGCATCTACCACGGGGAGTGCTCTGAGGAATTGTTCGGATTAATCCCTGCCGCCAAATTTCACGAACGCACATCGCGGCAGAACTCCCGATACCATCCACACCTTCTGGATGATTGGCGGTCCACCACTGTGTGATTTAGAAGATGTTAGAAGATTACCATCAGTGATTTTTCCGGACCGATACGACTTAGGGACCTTCTAGAAAATAGCCTACTCCTTTTTAAAATGCCGGCAACGCATCTGCAATTCCCCTGGTGTTGCGGTTGTTCATGGGCGGCGGTAGTCACTTACCATCAGGTGCGCCGCATGCTCGTTTGCCCCCTCTCCTATAAAAAAAAAGATACGAGTGTACTTATTCTCATGTTTAGCATAGTATAAAGAGACCAACTTGAGAGACGACGATGACCACTTAACAATTCCGTTTCCACGCATGAATAACACGCAACATCTTTCAATATATTTATCTAGTTTTGCCTTATTTGAAAATAGAATTAGGAAAAGCGAGACTAGTATATTGACTGAATTTATGTAAAATTGTAAGTTCTCTCTATGCATACATATGTATGTATGTATATATATTCTAAGAAGTATACCTATAGACAATGAAGATATCGACTATAATAAAGATTATTATATATATGTATATGATTATAATAATGAAAATTAATAAAATCTTTTAACATATCTTATGGAACGTTTAGGTACTCACCGAGCACAGACGAATAGGCACGAATATGAACATGTAAATGACTTGATCGGGTGTGCTCGCTACTTGGCCCGAGTGTTTGTCTGTTCTCCACTCTATATCGGTTTTTAGCACGTGTCAAAGTAATGTTCGTATGTATTCGTATCGATGTTTACATACTCGTCATTATTCAGTTGACTCGTGAAATACCACTATAATTTACTCAGCCAATCTACCGTTATAATTGTCTTTAATAACTTTCTTTGACACAATATATAAAAAAATATAAATGTGTACTCGGTTCAACTGAAATAAAAAATTCACAAAAGCGAAACTACTTTTATAATATTCTACTTAACACTCCCGTCTTTCCATCTTTTTTCATTGTAAATATTACGAGATGTACGGCATCCACGTTTAAAAATTTACATTGAATGAATACAGACGAATATGTAAACGCGTCGTACCCGTTCACGAATAACTCGGCGAGTTGTTCGGCCCATAATCTAAATGTGCCATTAGAATGTAGTTAAAACCTTATCAATCCATATTTTCTTTTATTTTTTTATAATGGCTATGAATACAATAAAATTATTTTTAATTGAATTTATTAATATTATACATAAATTAACAATCACATTTCAAAAGAACTCGTATTATGTATTAAAAAAAATTTAGAATAAAGTTCATGAAATTCCAAAACATTATTTATTAATTTATTAGCTTTATTTTTTACTTATTTATCAACATGAAAATTATTGTCAATAAATATTTAAGAATTGATTTTTAGTTATAAATACCTATACATTATAAAATTATCCGATCAATCCAAATAACTATCTCTAAATTGCCTCACGCTCGAAACTATAGCCATCCTATATTATGTTTGTCTGGCCAGGTGTTAGAACTGTCAAAACTGTCTGGCTACTGAGGAAACATCGAAAAGTTACCCAAGTAATATATGTATACAACTTTCAGCTTTTATACTATAACGTAAGTATAGTTACAATTTATAAAAATTTAAGGGTGGCCGGTAAGAGGTTGCCACGATACTAAATGTCTGGCAACGGATGACGTAATTTTTAATATTCTACAAAGAAAATATGAGAAAATTACCCTTTATACTTTGACAAATTTAAATTGCTATTTTAAACACCTTTTCTACCTGTTACTTGCCAAAGCCACGATGATCCAAATTTCGTAGTAGCCCACGATTCTTACCTATGTTGGGAGCATGCGCTAAGAAACTTTCATCTTTTATAAAATATAAGAAAGGTCTGGCATTCACGGGCTCTTAGTCTAGTACTCTTCGTACCTACTATTAAAATTGTGACATGGCTCGACAGTCAATGAGTCTATGAAATATAATATACATAAATAATTTATAGTTGTATATAATCACTATTTATTAATAAGTAAGTATTGACTTTAAGGTAACAAAATATCTACGTTGCCTTTTAATTACTTAAGACGACTCAAAGTCAATATATGTAGTAGCACGTGGTAGAGCCATGCTGCAGCTATATTAATAGTATAGTTGCAGCACGAATGGGTCGGCTCGACCGGGGAAGGACCACGCTCTCACAGAATACCAGCGTAAAATAGCAGTTTAACACTGCTGTGTTTCGTATGGTGAGTGTAGAGAACCGGCGACCCTTTTTACTGGAAAAGAGGCATTCCATCTTAGTCCTCACGGGTGACAACGCATTTGCATTTTGATTCTTTATTGAGGATAGATGTGGATGTCTATGGGTCACAGCAACCACTTACCATCAGGTGGACTGTGTGCTCGTTTGTCACGCTATCCTATAAAAAAAATGTAGTAGCATAATATATGAAAATTATTATTGTAAAGTTATGACATCCATATTAATCCAAACATTAATAAAGGCTGTACCTGGAAGACATCATCAGATTGTTCACGATTGGCCTCCCACTCCGGCGAATCCACAAACTGGTATGGTTGAATATAATGGAGGTGGGTCTCGTCACAGCTCACTCGCATTCTAAAGTAAAAAAAAAAAACATTACAAAATCTTAATACAATAACATGATTGGTTGGCGTCAAAAGTGCGAAATGTCTAGGTCTGAGATTGATACATGATGTAGGATGATGTTGGATCATGGGGGATGATAAAGAAGTCCATGTCTTGCAGTGAGTTGTATACAGGAGGAGGTATCTTATAACAATTTATTTGGTGCTCCCTAAGTATGATACAAATTAATATGGCTGACTTGGATTTCCAAAATGAAATTAATCTGATATTAAATTGATTATTAATACTTGGATATTAAAAACAATTATAAATTTATATTTTGTCGTTTGTTTTTGATACTTGATCTGCAAAATTGAAAAATTAAAATTACCTACTCGTTATTTCCGAAAAATATAATTTCCGTACTGTATCAATACTGGATAGACGTAACATAATATCTGTCTTTAAACTGTGGTAATATCAACGATATGTATGGAATACGTAATGGAAATCAAAGCGCGATGCGTTTTTCGTTTGTTCGCTTCTGTTAAGGAAGTTTCAAACAAGCCGTTCGGATACTAAAGTTGATAATGACGAAATGAAAGTCATGCCCATGTCTGAGTTATTACGCAACAACTTTCAACATTTTATGAATCTAAGTGATAAAATAATACAATAATGTAAGTAGGTAATAAAGTAATACAATCAATATTTTGCATCATATTGGAAAAATAAAGAAGTTCACACAGGGGGGTACCCTGTCATATTACTACTGAAATATAGAAAACGCGCGTCAATATTTGCTCTAGTTTGCTAATACCGCATATGAATTATGGGAATTGAAATCGGACTGTCACTTTGTATATAAAGTTGGGATGTAGGAATGACAGTCAAACTATGTCCAAAATTTAAGTTATATCAGATGCTTGTGACTGTATGGTGAACCTGAACCGGAGTTTTTATTACAGGATCTTGAAATCTGGTACTACTATAACATACATCTATATTTTCAAGGATTTCTAACAACAAAAGAATAGACAAGCAAACAACCGAAACTTGTCAATTACGTTAGTTTACTACTTCTCCACACGCTTTCAAACGCTTTACAACGACTTGTCTGAAATAACAGGAGCTTCCTGAGAGAGGATGGTACGGTAGACCGTACCCATAAGAGCTTGTTTCCACTGATTTACATTTTTTCGAAATTCGAATACCTTATAACAAGAGAAATAATATAATAATTTCGATGAGGTGGAGAAATATGCTTTTAATTTATATCCATCTCTAAGGCTAGGCTAGCAGAGGCATTAATGAATTTCTATTAATTTGGTTTAAGTGCATCAAAAACAATGGCCAATGCTTCAACTTATTAAAAATCGAAAATATGTAAATAAATAATTTTACCACCACCCTCGACCTAACCGGACAGCCAAACAAAATAATATTGCTATCAAGGAATGAGCAATGATTGTTACGCAAAACGCGTTTTTATTTCAATTAAAATGCCTCTTTTTTAAATATATAATAAATATATATTTTATTGCTCTCTACAAACATTACAAATCTACCACACACAGAAACTGTTTAACGCTATATTTAAAAAAAGGTTTACTAGAATTTTGTTATAATTGGAAAAAATATGGATTGTACATCTTGATTTAGGAGCCTATTAACATATATATTATAGATAATAATTCATTATATTGTGTTAATGGCATCGCGAGACCGTCCCTATGGATATGGGGGCGACCCACCCTTTTATTGTTACAGCTGTCTGCAATGTACATATCCAACTATGTATGCTATCGACATACAGACAATTACAAGTCAGTCGATATAAGTGCAATAGTGCAACTTTATGTGTACTCATTTATAAAATATATGATATTTGTATAAAGCTTTAGATCTTTATTCCTTTATCATCATACCTTTTAATGTCTACTTCTGCTTATCCAATGTGCCGGTTAAGCATGCTGGCCAGACGGACCACATATTCGTACAGTACTTAAAAATGTTAATTATTTTTACCACGTTTTTATTAAGTCACTTTTTGTTTGTCTGTCTGTTTCTCGCTCCAGGTGGTATTTAGTAATCGTTTTTAAACTAATTTCCCGATGTGCTAGAAACTTGAAATTTTGAATATATCTCAAATTTAACAATGCAAGAATATTATATAAAAAACCTTTAACATGTCAACATACTTTAAAATGTACATTTAAGAGCACACTTCATTTCTAACAAAATTTAAACCAATAAACAGCTCCATTATATCGATTTTCAGCAATCATGCTGAAAATCGATATAATGGAGCTACATAAAAGTCGCTGCGAATAAAACGTATTACCCACGTGTGCTGCGTTATGAACTCGCTAGCACTCGTTTCTGCTTCGAAATTACGTACGTATTTGAGCTTGTGCTGCATGCTATACATAAGACTCTTTTGTATACGATTTTAAAAATAATTTGCGCGCACTTAGCACACTACTTTAGCTTACATGATTTTTAGCGTTTCGTACACTATTTTACCGCAGATTGTACTTAAACTTATAGCATGAAAAATTGTTCATTATTATATTTAAAAGCATTTAGGTACATACATTTCAATTGATTTTTTTCTGTTCGTTAAATTCTAATTTCATATTATCATCGTTAATGTAAATATTTATTTGAAACGTAAAAAATGTTGTTCCAGTTTTTTTTAGTTGAAATAGCCAAACGTATTGCTGTTCCCAAATAGTATTTAAGGGAATTAAAAATGCTACACGTGGAATCGTCTACATTAGCAACATTGACCCAGCCCAAAGTAAATTACAGCCGGAACCTTGTATACCCTAGAGACCATTTTGACACTGAACGCAGCTCTAAATATAGATTATCTTTTAATTTTCTGATATCATTGTTCACTCGCTTGTATACGTTTTGTTATCTATTTATTATTAAAAATGGAACTACTGATAAAATCCACACAAAAGGATACGTTTATTTAGTAAAATGCAATCAATGATTTTCAGTATTTTTCATAGAATTTTTCAAATTAATTTAAATGAACGTAGATAAACAACAACTTTAATTTTTAGGATTCCGTACCTAAAAAGGAAACAAGGAACCCTTTTAGGATCACTTTCTTATCCGTCCGTCTGTTGAGACCCTTTTTCTCAAAACGGCGTAAAAGTATTAAGGTGAAATTAATATTAAAATTTCAAGCTTCAAAGTTAACGCAATCAAAAGATATCACATATTTTGATACACGCAAACTCACTAATCAAAATCTGTGTGGTAATTCCCATTGAATTATAAACATGAAATTTTGCACGAAGCGAGCTCACTCAGAACAAGTTAATGAAAAAATAAGAATATTATCATTAATTTGTAATTATATCATTTAAAAAAATTACGATTACATTCTTACAGTTCAGACAAATAGTCTCTCAATCCGCCTTAACTTTTCGTTGGACCAATGTTCGGTTGCTCTAATGAGAAATTCGAACTATCTATACATATAATTGAGTTTTGACGAAAGAATTTCATAAGATATAAAAATGTAAGTAATAAATATATTAACTTCGGCCTCTCAGTATATTTACGAAAATTTTACGTAAGTTTAAAAAAATACAGAAGTTTTAATAAAAAAGTGACATACACTCTGCAAAAACCAGGAACAAACACAAGCTAGTCATACCAGTTACTCGACTCCACAGCGTCAGTAATTCATTCAAGCGGCAATGTATAAGGCTATTACAACAAAGTCCCAGAAAATATACAGGGTCACTTGATTTTTTTATTAAACAAAGACTATAAAAAGGGTTATTATAATATAAATGATTACATGGTTTATAATAACCCCCGGGACCTGGGAATGAGTGGATCGCTTTCAAAATGTTTTTTAAACATTTCACTTTCTCGCGAATCTTATAATTATGAACATTTGATTGTTAAGCTACTATGTCTTTTTTGCGGACAGGGAAATTGTTAAATAAGTTTTGTAAGTAGTTTGAACAACCTGTGTTTTTATTGTATAATTGTATTTTCATTTTAAAAGTTGTTAAAGGGTTTCTTGCTGCTTTTTCCCACGACAGAGGTTTTTTTTCCAACCTATGGTAAAAAAAAAACAGAAGCAGTCATAAGGACTGCCGACAGAAGCGTAAACTCAATTATATATGCGTATACATGTAATGACGACAACCGATGGGGAAGAAAGGTTTTCGAGTGGCAGCCTCGTACCGGTAGGCGAAGTGTAGGGCGACCTTCCCCACTAGATGGAGTGCCGACCTGGTAAGACATGCAGAAAGTCGATGGATGCAGGTGACTCAGGACCGTGTTTTGTGGCATTCCTTGGGGGAGGCCTATGTTCAGCAGTGGACTTATGAAAGGCTGTAATGATGATGATGATGATGATGATACATGTACACAGGCCACTATACTACGCGTCGCTAGTCTGGCGTAAGCCATCACTATCATCGCGTCACCGATGTCGAGGTCATTGGTGACCCATAAGTTTTTCCTCTACAAAAAATCACTCAACGCGTCAAAAGAAGTTTTTACTTCAAAAATACTTTTATAAGAATTAATAAAAAAAATCTATTTATAAAAACTTTTTTTACACGTTGCTCAGATATGCAGGTTTCCAAATGATATTTTTATTCACCGCTAAGCATGTTGTAAATCAGCGCTTAAAATTGCAACTAACAATTTCATTGTTTACGATGAAGATCGAACCCGCGTTACCCATACTGTGAAATGGCCTATAGCTACTACGGCTTTATTATATGTTTAAAGCAAAATAATTATTTTACAGTTGAATGTAAAGCAAGAAATTTCCATCCATCTTCACGGTTTTCTAAATATGTACTCGTATATTGACGACCGTACATATTACAAGATTCCTACTAAAACATCAAGACAGTTGTTGATATGGAATATTTATCCAAAAAATCGCTAATGATATTATAATGTTGAAAGTATATCAACAACCGAGGCCTTAATAGCGTTAGCAAAATTTTTTTAAGTATAAATAATAAAAAGCAAATAAATATTCAACGAACTCTATGGCACCATACTTGGGGCACTGCACTTTTCCCGGGCTGAACGCCTGATTCTTCTCCTTACCATCCACTACCAAGTTACTACTTTAATGACTTTTAAAACGACAACCACTACCACCACCAGGTCAAAGCCATTGTCTCTGACGATGCGTGCATATAATATTTTCTACAACCGTTTTGGTAAGATTTCCGTCAGACTTCAAAAGCATAATTATATCCTGTATTGGTAGTTATCGCCTACACCAATTCCATTATAAAAAGTTTTTTTACTTAGACGTTACAAAGATGTTGGAACTTAGGAATTGGGGGTATTGATTAAAATCGCTATGCCAGGCTCAAGTATTTATCATCGCAATATCGGTCACCTCCATCCTGAGCACTGGTCCCATCACCTTTTTAAGGTATGCAATTCTTGAGTATGTAAGTACTTTATACATCAATGTTTCTTCAGACAGTGATGTTTTTAAGATATTTAGATTTATCTAAAATATTAGTCTGTTAAAATTAAATAAAACTTATTTGATTCCGTTTAATTAATAAAACATTAATAAGCATTAATAGGCCTATCTTCAGCAGTGGACTTGTGAAGGGCTGTAATGATGATGATGATGAAGCATTAATTTAGTAAATTAAATAAATTAAACGGGATAAAATTCGGACCACTGGTTTTATTCAATATGTATTACGCCCAAATATAAGTTTGTTAGCAATATGTGTTGATTAGTCTTATTTAACAAATAATAAAACGAGCTGAGGAGATATTATACTCTACCACTACAGCCATACTTCACAATGCATAAAACCTCCACAAATCTTTTTTTAGATGTTTATTAAATTTTTCGAAGTAATGCAATAACACGTGAACCAATTTAAAAAAGGCAATGTTGGGCGGTATCGTGGACTCTCGTGTTACGTTGGAAAAATAACACGTGAGCACTTTGTCCGGTATCGCTTTTCTTATATTTTAAAAGTTAACAGCCAAAAAATGAATATAGAAATTGAAATTGAAGTTTTTAGTTACAGTTTAAAAAATATGTTCTTAAAAACGAAACATACTTTCATTTATAAGGGATCAATAGGAATTATTGTACGTACTTTCCCTTTAAAAGTATAGACAGTCTTTCATCAGCGGGTGTGACTTCTTCTAGCGCGTACGCCTCGCCCGGCTCCAAGCGAACTATTCGCGCCTCCCGTGTTAGTTCTTGGAAGTGCTTCTTGTTCACTTTTAGTGGTTTGAAAAGTTTCAGGTACAGGTCTGTTAATTCTAAAGATAGCGCTGGTGGAAGAAATCTGAAGAAATAAGAAAACAATGTTACGGAATCTCTCATATTACGACTTTTTTTAATAAATTAAAGGATGCAAACACGCACACAGTCCACCTGATGGTAAGTGGATGCTGTGGCCCATGCACGTCTATGTACATCTATCGTCGATTAAGAATCAAAATTCAGATGCGTTGTTAACCCTGAGGATGAAGATGAAATGCCTCATAATGATAAAATGAGACAATAGGGCTCATCTCTAGCAATCATAAATAACCACAAATAGTTAATTGTATAATTTCACATAAAGACAATCATAAAAATTGTATACACCTGTCGCATAAAAATATACGAGACATGTTGGGCAAAGAATTAGAAATTGTTTTTAAACAGTAACAACATACATATATTTTTTTGTATAACTAAACATTGTTTAAAATATTATAACTGTAATATGATTAATTTCAGTAACATCAGGTGGTCAGTTGCTTTAACAGAAAAAAATTACGCATTGGCTCTTTAATATTAACTAACAAATCTATATATGAAAAATGTAAATAGCAGATGTCTGTAAACTTTATATTTTTGTAATAAAAGTGATTGAGAGGTACTAAAAATAAGTAATTAAATACATTTCTACCATTTTTAGATTTTTCTGTCTGTCTATCTGTTTGTTTGTTAACGTATCACGTATAAAGTACTAATTTATATCATAAGAATCGTTAAGGAAAATATTAAGTGTATCTTCGGGCTACATTTAGTCTTTATTTCATTAAAATCAGTTCATTCCATCAAAAGTTATGACAAATATTCTGAAGTATGGGTATTAAGTATAGGTACGAATTTGTTCAATAGTGGCGTTGGATGAGTCATCAAGTACATTTTAAATAATTAAATAACTATTTAATAATTAAAGAATGCAAAGATATTGTGAGCTTTCTGTCAAGCGAATTGTAGAAATGGCATGTGTTGAGCTCGAGCATCTCATTGTTGTCAGTGTTTACAGACCCCCAAATGATTGCTTTGAAAAAATTATGGAGAAAATTTTGCTTTAGCTTAATAAACAGAATAAATCTGTTATCATACGATAACAGAAGTGGAGATTTTAATATCAATCTCCTTAAAACTTCTTCCGTGAGTATTAAGTTTAAATCATTGCTCAAATCATACAACCTTGTATAGATAATATGTTTACTGATATTGAGCCCTTACATAAATTAACTATTCAAAATTTAAGTTCTGATCACTGTGGGCAGTTGTTCTTACTGCCTTACATGCACAAAAACAGAAAGTTAAGAAAGTTTTCCTTGTTCCAATAAATGAACATCTATCAGAGATTTACAAGTACTCGTAATATAGTGAGAAGCTGCCATTTCTTCCATATAAAAACAATACTGACTATTGATATGGATCTATTTATTTAAGTCTTGAATTTAATAAAATATTTACTTCTGAAACACTCTCTTTAAAAAGCTCAAATTGTTTAATGAATAGGTGACAGCAGGAGTCTATAAGAATACACAAACTTTATATGACCTTTACAATTAATGGTCATGTAATCATAGTGTTTCATTCAGAGAATATGTAAAAAAGTAATCCAAAATATTTAAAAGAGTGTGTTCTACAACCAAGTCTTTAAATTTAAGAAACAAAATTAAGAATGCCTGTAATAAAATTAAAATGACTTGGAGTATAATCTATAACGAAACTGGCAAGACGAAAGTACACAACTTAAACTTTCAATAAAATTTTCAGATCATGATTTTGCAACGACTTTTGAACATTATTTTACCGAAATTCCGATCTTACATCAAAGTCACTCAATTCCTCGCCTACTGTCGCCGAGTCATTATTCAAACAAAATGTAAATGTCTGTAAAAAAGAATTTGCATTTCATGAAATATTATCAGGAGATATTGTAAAATGTTTCAAAGCTATTGATATAAAGGAAGCAGCAGATCAATGGGGGATTTCCCTTAAAGTTATTGCGGCTATTTTTTTTTAATACTAGTATTGAATCTGGTCCCGATTTAATGAAACATATTACAGTTAATACCTTTATTCAAATCTGGTAGTATATTGGACCCTACCATTTAAATACCTATTTTCGTACTGCCAACGCTCAGTACAATTTTTGAAAATAAAATTCTAGATCAAATATTAAGTTATTTTAATATTAATAAATTGTCCCGTAATTTTTTTAGGTTTTACAAGGGGTCACTCAACAAGCTACGCTACATATTTTCTATGCTTTGGGTATATTTTCTGATCTTTCCAAGGCTTTGGACTGAGGCATCATATTTGAATAAAACAACACATATGTACAGTTGTGATTAATGGTAGTAGTTCTTCCGGATCCGTAGTATATATCGGTGTTCCTCAGGACTCAATTCTTGGCCCCTTCCTGTTCTTAGTTTATATTCATGATTTACTTTTTTGGTAGGGAATTAAAAACAATGCTGATGATACGTCGTGATTTTCCGACTTTAACGGCAACTATTAAAATTTTACGAAGTGAATAATGCTATATCAAAAGACTGGTTTAATGTTAATAATTTGTTTCGAAATATTAATAAAACGAAATGTATTAAATTCACGACACCTAATGTTACATAAGTGAATACCAGTGTGCCGTTAAATAGGGAAGAGCTGAGCCTTGTTAAATCCACTGTCTTTCTCGGAATTACAGTTGACGCGATGTTTCAATGAGGCCGTCATATATCTAAACTATAGCTAACGAACTTATTTCTACAGCATATTCTGTAAAAAAGATTACAGATAGTAGGTAATCCATAGCATAATGTTATATGGAATCTTGCTATGGGGTAATGTGACTGGACATTAAAACCATCTTTTTTGACAAAAGAATCCAAGGGAGTCCGAAGGAATCCCTTGAGAAAAATTTACAGAAATAAACTTTGGCCTCTCAGTATATTTACGTAAATTTAATGTATGTACACAAAAACAAAAATAGTTTTATTAAAAATAGTGATTACAGAATATAAATATTAGGAACAAGCATAAGTTAGTTATATCAGTTACTTGACTACAAAGAGTCAATAGTTCCTTCATGAGGCCATGTATAGATACGCTTTTACAACAAAGTCCCAGAAAATATGCAGACCTTTTCTATAAAAAAGTTCAACATTTTTATTAAGCAAAATTTTTAGTAAGTTTTATTATACTACTAAAGACTAAAAAGTACATGATTGATATTAACCCCTGGAAATGAGATGCTACCATGCTGTTTCTTAATGTTTTCATACTAATTGTATGAAATGGTGTATTGTAAATTAATTTTATTTAAAATAAGTCCCGCTGAGTTTCTCGCTGATTCTTCCCAGGACAAAGGTTTAATCCAAACCAGTAGTAAAGCTTAAATGACTTTTAGTTAGTATTCTTGTAACCTATATTGAATAAAAATGATTCTATTCTATTCTATTCTCCTTTCCAGTAGACCCTTTAGGGTCTCCGGTTCTCTACATTCACTATACGAAACACAGCAGCTTTGAGCCGCTATTTTGCGGTGGTATTTTGTGAGAGTGTGGTTCTTTACCGGTACAGCCGAACCTTTAGTACTACAACCATAATATAGTTGCAGCATAGGATTAAAAAATTGATGTGGCTGCGATTCGGTTTTTATGCAGTCATTATCAGCTTTCTATTTGATTCATAGTTTGATTACTTCTAATTGTGAATTTGGCGTTTGTTTAAAACTACGGAAATAATTTTATTATAAACTGCATTAAGCGTCTAATGAAGTAAGTTTGGTGGTGGCATCACCATTTCTTTTCGAGAAAAGTCTACTAATGTATGAACGTACACACTTATAACACACACACACACACACACACACACACACACACACACACACACACACGCACAGACACACACGCACACGCACACGTACACTCACACGCACACGCATACACACACGCACATGCATTCGCAAACGCACACGCACAAGCACACGCACACTCACACGCACACGCATTCGCACACGCACACGCACAAGCACACGCACATGCAAACTCACACGCACACCCACCTTCACATGCACACGCACACACACACACACACTCACACATTCACACACACGCGTACGCACACGCACACGCACCTTCTCACACACAAACACACACAAACACACATACACACACACACACACACACACACACACACACACACACACACACACACACACACACACACACACACACACGCGCGCGCGCGCGGCATGCACACACACACACACTCTTTTACAAACAGTAAAATTTAAAGCCTACAGACCTCAAAACATGGAGATACTCATCTATTATACTCATATATCGGACCCAACTTCCAAATAGGAGGTCAATAATGCCAAAGTATGTTTTACTCGTTTTTTGAAACTGCAAACGAGCACTCAATTTATCCGATGGTAAATGAACGCTGTGGCCCATAGACACCATTCCAACCTAGTCCTCGGGGGTGACAATATTAATCTTAATCGAAGATAAATGTAGATGTGGATGCAGTGGCCCATAGCACTGTATCCACTAACCATCAGGTGGACTGTGTGCTCGTTTGTCACCCTAATTCTATAAAAAATATCATAATTTCTCCTTACCAAGTTACATAAACGGTCATCTTTGTATGACATCCATTATATACTCGTAGGTCGAAATAAGTCCCGTGGGAGTCGTAAATGTCAACTGAGAAAAATGCTAAGAGCATCATATGCCATCTGGGGATCTAACCCTAAACATCTACACTCTACCTCACCACCGCGCCGAACGAATAAGAAAACTGTGGTTGTATGTCCGACCTACCTGCGGCTGTAGATAGTACCTGTCGCTACAATATCAAAGGTGTGAAACATTGCATAGCCGAGTCTTTTTGATAAATGTCAGAATTCCGTCTCAATAATATTTACAGTCTGATGTAAAAGACAAGGATATAAACAAATTTGTTAAGAAAGAATGCCGTGAAGGTGTGCATGTGTGCAAAGTTGTTTTATAAATTAAAATTAATGAAAGCATCTCATCACCTTATAATTAAGAAGACAGTGTGAATAGAGTTGACGAGCAAAAGTGCTAGACTCCAAGCGAGCACGTCGGGAGCACAAAATTCGGCGCCAGCCCACATGCCCATCAGCACCGCGCCCGCTGCTGCCAATGCTCGCAGCACAAGTATACTTTGCTTGAAGCTTTTTGGCGCAAGAAACGCCAAAGCGAAACATAGGTTCGCCGCCTGTTGCATTAATTTAAAATCCAATAAAATAAAATTGTATTTTCAGGAAAGATATTAAAGTATTTTTGATTTTTTTAATTAATGCATTTATTAATATATTCTTGGATTTTTATAGCAAGTACAATAAAACATGCAATATGTTTTGACGTTAAAAGTTATACGAATATTTGAATCAGGAAAATGCACCATTTCATGTTATTTTTAAGGATTTGATAAAAGAAAGTCACCTGAAATAGATCCTGCTGTGCACTCGACCACTTAGCACAGAACCAGTGATTGTCATGTTTGTCGCTGGAGCTAGCGTTTAGTAGGTCGTAATCGGTGTCGAAGGTGGTGTTGGGGCGCGTCGCGTTGTAAGCCAGCGTGGCGTTGAGCCAGGGCGCGGCGGACGCCGGCGCGGGCGCGGCGGCCATGCTGCGCTTGCGCCCCGCCCGCGCGCCCCCGCCGACACCCGCGCGCGCCTCCCGCGCCTCGAGCGCCCTTTCGCGCCTCTCACTCGCCGACACGAGACGATTCAGCTGGGCTCTTGCTTTCAGTATTACCAACTCCATCCCCACACACTGCGACCACGTGGCGCACCGGTTGCGTGTACTTCCTACCTAGAACAAATGATGCTTTAAAGATACTCGACATAAAAGGATTTTACATGAGTTTTTTACACGGCCACACAGTCTACCTGATATAGTTTATCATGTGGCTCATAGAGTTGTAGATGCCTAAATCTATCTGCGATCAACCTGATAATCGTCTGCCCATTGTCACCGTAGTTATTTAAGTTAAAGATGTAACAATAAAGAGTAAATTAATTTATTATTAATGAAGACTCTTTTTGCTCAAAACAATATTTAGACGATAGCAACAACCAAAAAACACCTTTATTTCACTGCAGTACCCTTATATTGGAGCTCTTCTCTACTAAAAAGAAAATTCTTAGAATATTGTGGAGGCTAGAAGTGAAAGAAACTAGTGAGTCATATGGTAAGCCAGATGGTATACCAGCTATAGCATTAAAAAATTTTAGACACCCTGTACACCTCAGTTTTCTCACATGTTTCACACGTTTGTTCTGCTTCTCATTTAAGAGTGGAATAAACAGAAAACGGCGCTGGCCAACGTGCAGATGTGTTTAAAAAGCAACCGAGGAGAACCTGTCAATCTTAACAACTCCATACTCTGTAAGATTATGGAGGATATCAAACGTTTTGCCTATCGAACACCTTGGTATACCTACTATAAATATCCGATAATGAAGAATAAAGTAAGTATCGTTCATTTTGAAGAAACTGATCATGCAGGTAGATCTGTTTATGACTTTGCCTTGACATATGGTCTGACACAACTGGTTACTTCGCCTACGCCCTACGCGGATCCCAGATGTGTAGGATCATGCACTTTCCCTGTTTGGACATTCTGCTGTCCTCTCATCGGTTCACTCACGGTGCCACTCATGCTCCCGTTGCGGTTGCGTTCTGTAGGTTTCCACCATGTTTGGCACTATAGGTCGGCCGATTGGGACACGATGCGATCTTTTTTGCACCCTACCCTTGCTTCTCGCCGGATGATCCCAACATTGTTGCTGATTCTGTCATCAATGTGGTACTTTAGGGAAAGGAACTTTTTATTCCATTGTCTGTGGTGCCGGTAGCAGGACTCAGCCATGGTTTGGTTACTACTGTAAAATTGCATCACGCCATAAGCAGGAATGCTACCAGGCCCGGGCTGACGCACTTCTCGGGATGCAAACACCAGCGCTCTTAAAAAGTAGTTGAATTCCGCCTCCACGTCCTTCAAAAGTATCATTGCTAAGGCAAAATTAGAGCACAATGGCAGAAACTAGTTCAACTTCATTCGGTAACACGTGTATTCTGGTCTCTCATCAAGCCTGTCCAAGGGAATTTCTGTCAGCCATCTCTGCCATCTCTGCACAGGGAGAACGACTCACTGGCCCATGCTGCAAATAAGAAAGTCGATCTGCATCCAACTCGACTCTGCATGATGGGGGGAATACACTTCCGACCATCCTGTGGTGTGAGTGCTCCATGTAGGATGTTTACACAGCGCTTGGTGCAATAAGCATTACTCTTCCTGGACATCAATAAGTCGAGTGAGCCTGATGGAGTTCCTCCTATTGTGTAGAAGACGTGTGCTCCGGAGTTGGCACCGGTTTTAACGCGACTTTACCGGTACTCCTACGCCCTCAACGTAGTCCCGAATTCATGGAAACAGCTTTGGTCCACTCGATCCCTAAAAAAGGCGGCTGCTCAGACCATAGACTTAGAATATACTGGCGTATAGACGACCTGACAGCCCGAAAATTTGTAACCAATTTTGATTTGCCATTGTGTGCATTAGCTAGATGATGTACATTTTACGTATAAGAACTATCGAAAAAGTATTGTTAAGGAAGCGGTAAAAAATAAAAACAAATGGTTTAATTCACGAAACTGAAAAACTTCAAAAATTTTACTGAATTTTTACCTTGATAGTTCTGCCCAATTAACATTTTTTCTGGACCTAGGTTGTAAAAAATGCCTTTAGGGTTTAAAAAGGTTGGAAAAAGGTTAATGCTTTGCTATCTGGTCATATTAAGTACTTGAGAATGTTTATTAAGTCCTAACACTAATTGTTTATTATTACAACGTTGGAGCCGCCGACAAGAGTTTAAATTAACGTTATTTTGACTGGTTTGTCAAGAGCATATATAGTCCTAGGATCATAAAGTTGTCATTGACTCCTGATAAAGTTCTAAAAAGGCTAGCATTTCACTTAAGTAAGATCTAAAGGTAAAATTTTTAACTTTCATATTACCATAAGGTTGTAGATTGTTGAAATCGCTTATAAGTAATTTCTAAAACCAACTGAAAACCTTTAGGCTGTATTAGAGTAGTCTATATAAACAAATTAGGACTGTGTCATAAAAACCCAAACCAATAAGCTATTATTAAGAGCTGAAGGAATGATTAAAGTCCTACAAGAATATTTTAAAGCTTTACAGACGTCCTCAGAGAATGTCAGTTGCCTTCGCGACTTCAAAGCGACGTTTGTCCTGCAGGATGGACCGACACAGGTTGATATAAAAAAAAGAAGTGGAAATTTTAAACGTAAATTGCGTAAAAATTTCTTAAGAATAATTAATACATCGGTAAGTTTCATGTCATCATATTCTTACAGTAGTTAGTTATGCCAGTAGGTGCCTGCCAAATATGGGCTTTTTTATTATTTCTTTTCCATTTGCACAAGTTGCCGCTACTTGAAACCTCCGAACGACTATCGCTGTCAGCGTCTGTCGTCGTTGTCGGGTCTCAGATCTGTAAGAGCCGTTTTAAATATATATAAGGTGCCTCGTCTTAACCATCTTAAAGGCTATCAATCTGACCAAACGTAAGTACAAAATGAGTTTTAGCCGGTCCTGCGGCATGTGATATCTATGATGGATTTGCTCCTATAAAAATGGTTGTTCGGCTGTTCGATTTTAACTGCTGCTCAAGATGCCCAACTTCCTGAAACCCCTTTAGTTTCAACCACAGGTGACATGACATCGTCTAAAATATTTGAAGAGCCACAAAAAAGTAAATCAGATGATAATGGTGCTTTATCTGAAGATTTGAATACCTTGAAGCTCTCACATTAGAAACTCGTGTTGTTACAATAAAGGATTTAAGAATGTGGTCTTTGAAATACAAAATTAAACAAACAACTTAAAAGACCTTTTAGACATATTGAACAAAGGAACTAATCTAAAACTTCCTAAGGACCATAGATTCTTATTTGTTTCTTTGTTTTTAAAGTTAAACTTTTGAAGTCTTACTATAACAATATTATACTTACTGGAAAAAATAATGTAGGAATGGGTCGTTTAATAAAATGGTTTTTACTCTGCTTTTTCTTGTATATTTCCTAAGAAAATGTTTATTGAAAATTGTATAGAGTTCTTATTTGGATTCCAATCAACCCACCTAACGTTAATAATTTTTTTATTGTGTTTGATAAACGGTATTATAAAATTATGATTTTAGAACGCAAATTAAGTATTTATTTTCATTCCTCTCCTTCTTGTGTGGGCAAGTCTATCCATTCATATAAACATTCAAGATAAATATCGACATTAATTTTGAGTGAATCCCTAGCGTACGTGTAAAATATTTTGTTTAAAAATGAATTCATCAAAATCATACAAATTATCAACAACGCGACTTTTTTCTTTGCATAATATAAAAATTAATAAAATGATTGAAAATATTATTTATTTTAAACAGTATATAACATTTTTATTTTAGCGCGTCTAATTTTAACCAAAAATAGACGCGCCATAACAATAACGACTTATTATAGATAGTATATATATAAAACGACGAATTGATTATTTTTATTATTGACACAACAGTCACTAACCATTTTGGAAAACTATAATCTAAAAATTACAAAATAATTAGTAGCTTATTTCTTGCGTGCCGACTTGTGTCGACCTGTCATTCAAAATCGGTTACAGAGTCATGACATTTGGTATCCTTTTCTATCTTGCATTTTTGCCTTAAGGAATTTTCTTCTCCCTTGCACACTATTTTTTTTTATTGGATAAGGGTGACAAACGAGCACACAGTCCACCTGATGGTAAGTGGTCTATATCCGTCTACGCGAGTATATTCTAAGTCTATGGCTCAGACCCGTCTAGCTACAGGCCTATCGCCATCACCTCCTTGTTCTTATCTTATTATATATAAATAATGGAATCCATTATAAGCTGCCACCTCATGAGGTAATTTGAAGACCCTTAGCTGAATAGTGACCACGAATACGGTTTTCACCGGGGTCGATCACCTGGTGATCGTCTGGTCTCCTTGGCTCATAGATGGGCGGAGGCAGTAGAGTCCAAGAGGGAAGCCTTGGCCGTTAGCGTGGACAAAGCAAAGACCTTCGATCGAGTTCGGTACAAAGCGCTTCTTTCAAAGCTTCCTTACTATGGGCTTCCCGAGAAATTTTGCAATTAGATCACCAGTTTTCTTGTCGATAGGAGCATGAAGGTCGTAGTAGACGGTGCATGCTCCGATTACAAGCCTATTAACGCTGGTGTTCCACAAGGCTACGTGCTATCACCAACGTTGTTTCTACTGCATATGAATGATATGTCGCAAAACCGTAACATTTATTGCTATGCAGACGACATTACTGGTTATGCTTTACACACCAACCGTGCCAATATTTCTATAAAAAAGTCGCGGAGTACCGGAACAAAGTTGTGTCCGAAGTCGAGACTTTGTTGAACAAAATCTCGGATTGGGGGCGACTAAATCTAGTCCAGTTCAATCCCCAGAAACACAAGTTTGCGCATTTACCGCTAAAACGATCCCCTTTGTCGTATATCCTCAGTTTCAGGGCACTACCCTTGTTGTCTCAGCTAGTATCGGAATCCTCGGCGTCGATATATGGGATGACGTGCAGTTTCGTACTCGTCACTTGGAAGACAAGGCCAAATTGGGATCTAAAAAGCTTGACGAGCTCAGCAGAAGGAACTGAACACATACATTTCAAATGATATCCGATGATGAACTCT